TCGCAGCTAAATAAACAACCAGTTTTGTTTTATGCAATCTGATAAAGTTGTAAAGTTTCTCAAAAGAAAACACTGACAGAAAATGTAACAAAACGTAGCACATTATTACAATGTTTTTATGGGTATTCTTTGAAATAACAATAGGAAAATTATAATCATATCATACTTAGATATTTGATGCCATACCAATTCTTTTTTTAAATATCCACACAGTACTTTAAAGTAAAAAGAGCCAGATCTGAGAAATCTTACTCTCACAAGTTGCACAACATAATTTTGAAGTAACTTTAAGTTCCATTTAAATATCATGGTATATGATTAAATGTAATACATTAATAAATTAATAAAAAATTATGTAAATAAATTGATAATTAAATGCCATGATACACATCAAATTACATGAGCATCACCAAGACACAGTACAACCACTTTTGTAAAGAAATCAAAACACACCAGGTGAAATCTTTCAGTCACCTAACTTACCATTAGTGATCTCGTGTTTAACAATGCAAACTTTATGGCGGGTTTCTTGGTCGGAGTCCTCGCCACTACCACTACTTTCCCCCGACATGATGCGTCTGATTTCTAGAGTATTTGATCAATAACGTGATTTTGACAGCCTGCTTTTCCAATGCACAGACATCTATATTATATACGGCAAATGTCGACACACGGATTTATTTTATAAAGCGAAACTTTGCACGTTATGACAGAGAGAATGACATGTTTTTGTTTTTGTTATTATCTCAGCTCACAAATCCATTTGACATCCTGCTGTGAACACTAATCTTCGCGCACGACCTAGATATTAATCTCCGCTTTTGATAGGCGCGCGCACAGCCATACACTTTAATACCTTTCGAAACAAGACGACGATATTCGGTATTTTAACACTTGAACTACAGCTAATTGATTATAATGTGGGCCATAAATGGCTGTTATTTCCGTATTTCCAACTTCGACACAACTGTCATGAGGTCGTCCGCAACTGCAGTGAAGATCGCAGTCCATCAAGAGCGACTGTTCACATTTGAGCTGATCTCGTTACCGCTGTATTGCCAAAAAAACACACTTCAAATAAAACGATATTAGCTCTGCTAACGAGCTATACCCTGATAGCGTACGTGCTAACTATCAACCATGACAGATCACGTTAAAGATGTCCCTAACAGCGGATTCACTAAAGCTGAACGGGCGTATTTTAGTCCTTTGCTCCTTCCTTCCGGGTGTAGTTGTGCCTGACTCGCGTTAAAATATGCGTTTGTTTTGGAAAGGAAATGAATTGAACGATAAATGCCTGGAAGAAAGTGTAGTAAGGATCATTTCAGCTACGGAAGCCGAAGTAGAGCTGTTCGAATCGCGAACCAATCGTTGTTTTGAACTGGTTCTTTTGGTTGATTTGAGATAATCGATTCGCTTTTTAAAGCACTCGAATTGTGGACTTGGTTGTGTTCATTTTGTTTAAAAATGGGTGAGGTGAGGTTGGAAACATAAAAATCGATCGGCTGTA